ATTCAGAAATTATATAAGGAGATACGCCAAAATGGAAGACACGTTGATTAATGAAAATTCTATTTCTAAATTCCACCTACCTTTGCCTATACTACTATAAATTGTGATCAGATCTTCTGTAAATTGTGATTAGATCTTCCATGATCCATGACCAATTTGATTTGATAGTTGAATACTAAAAACTACATTATATTCAATATCAAGAAGTTGCTGACATTTTAAATACATGTCTGACTATTAATTTAGTATGCTACTTGATAGTTGATAGTATTAGACCATCCTGTGATTTATATCAGTCAATAAAAACTTACAATATATAGCTGTATGTCCCATTTATTTAGCACAATTAAGGAAGCAGACAATTAACGTCGGTCCACAAAAACGAAGAACGAGAAGTTCATTCAACTTTTCATTTTTTTTTTTCAGTTGACAAATAAATTAAAATAGTAATGCTTCTCATCCTATTCTGAAAAAAAAGGATTTTTCCAAGGATTTTTTTTTTTGGCAATGACCAATACTAGCTTGATTCAATTTCAAACTAAACATAATACTCAGATTGAGATGCACAATTTTATTAATATGTAATTAACATTGTGATTGCAATAAATTAAATTGTAGTCAAAGTAGTTCTTTCAATTACCTTTTTACCACTGCGTAGCTTCATCGTAATGTGAAATCCCACTCAACAACAAATTTTATGGCACCTTAATTCCAAGCATCACAAATTTTAATTTACTTTTTCATAAGTTTCACATCTTTTGACATATTTTTTAATATTAGTATACTTTTATATATTAAACTGATATAATATATACCGCTTGAGTTTTTGAATGTGATATATTAATATTGAGTAATGCTATAGGTACATAACAATAACAATGTACATAGAGGTGTACATAACACTCACATTATGTGGGACTTACCAAAAATAAAAAATCAAGTGGTCCCCACTCCATGTGAGTGTTATGTACACTTCTATGTACATTTATTATGTACTTGTAGCATTTTCCATTAATATTTGTATTTATTCATGTTGCTTATTTTCAGGAAAACAGAAATTGACTTTCAAGGAAGAAAATATGAAGTAATTTGTTCAAACATGATGCTTTATAGATTACTTACAATGCATTGAGTCTAATTTTACCTATGTGGCATATAAATAGACTTAAGTCCTAAATGACATAGACAAACCCAAGTAAAAAAACTCAAAAGTTATTCAATGCAAAAATAAAATACTAGGTCTAGCATATATGCCAACCAATAAAAATGCTTTAATATGTTTCCTTTATTAAAAAAAAAAATTAGGAATAAATGATGAGTGTTTGAGTTTGTACTTGGGTCCAAAATAGACCCAATTGTGGACTTGGTCGCTTTTTTTTAGAGCATCCACAATGCTTTGGGTTCAACCACAAAAAATTGGATGCCACCTAAGAAATAGATCTAGTCTAAAAAATGTATTATCCAATGCAAACAAAAGTAGACTGACTCTTGCTGACGTAGCAGCCAGAAAAAAAGAGACCCGGTCTACCCTTAGGTCTATTTTAGACCCAAGTACAGACCTAGTCTCTTTGCATTTGACCACTCCAAGACTTGAATTTATTTACATGCCACATAAGCAAGACTAGACCAAATGCATTGTGGATGCTTATTGCCACATAAGTTAGACCATGTTCACTTTTAATTGCATTGGAAGAAATTTTTTTATAAACTAGATTTATTTCCTATGTGGCATATGATATTTTATTAAGAGATCCATACAATATGATATTTTATAGACTTGGGTCCAATGCATTGTGGGTGCTAGATCGAGAATTTTCAAAGTAGGGCGTAACTCCAAAATGTATCAAAATAATCCTATCTGAATCATCATATTATTGGAAAATGCTACAATCCCGTTACGAAACCATTCCGTTGGAATTTGTAACCGTTAGATCATCAAGTAACCGTCAATGATAGTTGATCTAACGGTTACAAATCCAACGGAATGGCACCGTAACGGGATTGTAGCCTTACCCGATATTATTATTAGGATATTTATTGACAGATGGTGCTGTGTTAGTGTTTCATTTCGTCTTTTGTATTATCCAATTTATTGATCATATATAAATATGATAGCATGTCGAAATTTGATTATTATTTTTTTCATCCATGGTTTATTCTATATCTTTTTTCTATAGTTATAGTATCTAATCGTATTGTATGGAATCCGTACTTCATGTCATGTTGCAAACCTACTATTAATAATTCGTAACAAGGAAAAGAAGACAATAAAATAATAGTAACAATATATATATATATATATATATGGGTGAGGAAAACTAAAGCGAAATTTAAAAACCGAGACAAACTGATGTATTCGTGTCATGTAAACCTACCTTTTTTTTTTGGTGACTTGCGGTTAACGAGTCGAAAATTTCGGTGAAGTTTCAGTTTTATCTTTTCTCCATTTCGGTGCAAGTTAGTTTGAACTTTTAATAATTTTTGGTTTTCAGTTTTTTTCGATTCGGCACGATTTGCACCAAATCGCACGATGGTCACTCCGAAATCTATACTTATATAAAAAGCTATCTCATTTACTAGAATTAGTAGGAAAAAAAAGTCAACTCATAATTAATTGCACACCATATTTAGAAAGTTTTAGATATTTCAAATCATAAAATAGGGTAACATTAAATGCCCCTAAATTATGAATTTTGTTGAATTCATTTTTGAAAATTTTGACAAATATTGAAGTGAATATGAAACTCAAAATCTCTTCTCATTTTATTTTTAATAAAATCTGCATCCAAATTTACGTGTGATTTTGAAGTGAAAATTTGAAATTCAAAATCTCTTCTCATTTTAGTTACAAGAAAATTAGGCTGCATTCAACACTTGGACCAATTTAAAAAATATTCCTTAAATGAAAGAATTTATAGATAATTGTTATCTCTACTCAATCACATGATTATTTTCAATATAAAAAGAGACAAATTACAAATTAGTGAATCATATATTACCTAATTCAATATCTTAACATTAAAGAATAAATTCATAGTATTATGTAAATCCGTATCTCATATTATATATCATTAAGAATATATTATAGTTATATTATCAAATCATAAAAAGATATTAAATCCATATTGTAAATAAAATAATTCATATAATTTTATAACAATTCTACTAAAATTAAATTCTTATTAGTATAAATATTTTAGTGAGATAATATATGAATTATTTTACAAGCTAGCCTTAACATGCTCATATTTAATGTTCTTGCTAATAAACAATGCTGGTTAAAAACTATGGAAAAAAACTTATAATATCCCTATTGTTTTTTAGATTTAACGCTGATTAAAAGAGATAGAAAATAGATAATAACCCTATTATTTTTTAGACTTAAACGGACAAGGTTGTGAAAAGAACTCATTTAATATTTTTGTCCCGTGCATCGCACGGGGTATATACTAGTTTATATATATAAAGAGAATAGCTATTTACTAAAAATAGTAGCAAAAAAATATATAAACATTTAATGCATACCTTCTCTGGAAAGTTTTTAAATATATGCATTAATTGCTTTCATATACACATTTTCAAATCAGATATGATCAGAAAGATTATTTTCTTAAATAATTTTATTCATATTTTATTGATATCCATTATAATAAACTACAATTTGATTTTCCGTGATTCATATTGATAATATTTTGGTCAGTATAAACATGAAAACATATTTTAAGTCTTAACCATATTATTATTTTATTTTTCACCAATATTGACTTTCATTCTAAAATATTTATAAACAACCGTAACATGTTAAGTAATTTTCTCCTTCCAACTAATTATGCGAAACCACGTTGGTAAATTATTATTTGCCGGTAATATTTTTTCACTTTTAATTAATTATATAAAAAATAAGTAATGTTTTAAATTAAAAATAATTTACTATTTAAGTGATAATGATCAGTTACATTATATGATTTTACTAATCACCAGATAATGAACTTACAATATATTAACTATTCTTTAAATTCTCAATATGCTATTTATTTGTATATTATTGTCAATCATGATAATTTTTTTTATTATTATTTTTTATATTGGTTTCTTTCCATAATGAATTTATTGTAAAATATATTTCCATTGTATATAACTAAACTATAAAGCGGTAGAATGCAAATTAGAAAAACCTCTTGATTATATAAGGAATTTATTTTTCGGTAATCGCTAAATCAATTTTTTTATGAGAAAATTAAATTCTAAAAAACATGTGTGTATATTTTGTAAACATTTATACAAAATATTCATTTTAAATTTATTTACATAAATTTAAATTAATTACATTAATAAGTAATATTACGTACGTTAAATATTTTAATTGCATAAATTAAGAAGAAGTAGACTACTTCTATAAATCTTATAAATAATAATAAAAATGAAATTATATGAAATAATATTTATAATAATATAATAATTGATTATTATATGGTGAACAAAAATAAGTAATACTGTTTTTTTTTTCTTATATCAATGAATAAATGCATATTCTAAAACCAAATTTATATTGGTTCAACGTGTTAACGGAAAAATATATTAATTAACATGTTCTAGCTAAAATAAAATTACTGATTAAAAGATATGGACAATGAATGATTGGACCCTATGATTTTTGTGCGGACAAGTCTTATTAAAATAACTCATTTAATATATGTCCCGTGAAACGTACGAGCTATGTACTAAACAATAAATCAATTATATTTAAAAAACAAAAAAAGACCATCACATCTAGGATAGAAGTGTCATTTTCGACATTCATACCAAAAGGTAGCATTTTTCTTTCTCTCAACTGAAAACGACTGCAAGCCACCTTGTCTACCAAGTTCCTATCTTTCCATCTCCCAATACACAAACAGATATTATATACATATATACATACACATATATACACACATATGCGTATGCTTTCTGCGTGTATATAAATGCGAAAGGCGCACACCGACCTCAAACCACCTCTCCATTTTTCTCCTTTCTTAAAAAAAAAAAAAACTCTAAATTCACAAATTCACCGAGTTTTCTAGCTCATCACAAACAATAAACGACTTGAAAAAATTCGAAGGAAAGCAAAAAAATGGTGGATCACCTGCCCCAAACCGTGTGCTGTATGTGCGGAGACGTCGGCTTTCCAGACAAGCTCTTCCGCTGCTCCAACTGCCGCACCCGCTTTCAGCACTTGTACCTCAGTTCTTCTCTTTCTCTTTTAGACATTTTCGCAAACACTTACTGTGCACTCTGTGTAAGCCGATTTTCTCATAAAATCAAAATCAATCGATCAATCGTGATTGTTGGTTCCGATTTTGTTGCAGGTATTGCAGCAATTCTTACAGCGAACGATCGGAGCCGATCGGAATCTGCGACTGGTGCCAATGTGAGGGGAAAAGCTCATCGTCGTCCGGCAAAAACAGCAGCAGCAAATCAGGGCATGCAAACGCCGGCGGGAATATCAGGCAGCAGCAGCGGCGGGAGGAGGGCGGCTCGTCGGCGGAGAAGGCCGCCGGGAAGCTGCCGTCGCCGCGGCCGAACCCTCGCAGGTACAAGCTTCTGAAAGACGTAATGTGCTGATTTTTTATCGGGAAAAGAGAAAAGGATGACCGAAAAATGAATTAGAAGGAAAGGAGTAAAAATTAAAATATATATATATATATATGTCCCGTTTCCTGAATTTTCTGTATAAATGTATTATATTATATAAGTAGTAAAGTTGTATTTGTAATTTTGTAGAGTTAGTTGAAAGTTGCTTTCAAGTGTGTGTTTAATAGTGGCCAAGCCCCCACTCTTTCTTTTTTCTTTTTCTTTTTTCTTTTTTTTTGTTTTTTGCTGTTTTTCAATTGAAGGGCTTAAATTATTTTATCTCAAGTGCATGGATCTCTANTGTTTTAAAATGTAAATAATTTCTGTAATGTTTATGTTTCATGCATTATGTTTTTTGGAATTTTCCACCTTTAAAATTATTCTTATTTATGTTCTGTGTTAAATAAACTATTGATAACGGTAGTTACGTACGGTCTAGGCATTTCTAAGCTGTTTAAGGATTGTTTGTCGGATAATTTTATTTGAACCTAATAATTTGTTCATGGAAGTGTAGGATAAGGTGCAACTGAATATTTTATATAGATAGGTCTTATTTTATGTGAATGTATGTATATCATCAATATATATGTTTATGTAACACTTCCATATAAATATTGGCAGGAGTTAGATTGCTCGATAGAGATAAAACCAATGTGTTCTGAGAAAAATAAGACTTTCAAATATAATGACGAGTGATTGATATTTTATAAAATTGGTGAGTAATTGTATGTTAGTGATCTCTCAATAACCTTATACATGCTACAGACCGAAAGGTTTTACTCTACGTTGAGTTTAATTTTCACTGTAACACAGGATCGACACACGTGAGTGTATATATATACGACTGTATGAATGTGCAGTTTACACACCTATAGGATCGAATCTTCCATTTCAAACCGGAGTGTTTTCGATTATTTAAAGGAATAAAGAAAGAAAAATAAAATAAAATGAAAGAAATAATAATTGTGGAGATAAGTACTTGAGATAGGGTTTTGTGTGTCTGCCAAAATAGGGATTGTAGGTGGGGATGCAATTCAACACCACGCCACCATTTGCTTTGCTGAGCCTCTTAAGGTGAGAATTTATTGCGGTTGGTTTGCCTTTTTTTACCCCAAAAAAAAAAAATAAAAATACAAAAGTCTATCCTAAAGCTCATAACTTTATCAGATTTCACTGAAAGCATTTACGTGAAAAGTCTATCCATTATGGCAATATTAATTTGCACTTAAAAATAAAAACAAAATAGTCTTTTGAAATTTGTGAATAAAAATTTTAGTTGAATTAATAGTCTTTAATTAAGTAAAAATAGCAATTATATTACGTATGTACTCCCTCCATTTTGAAATATAAGGCATTTAAGGTTATTGCACAAATATTAAGGAGACATTAATTAATGAATAAATTGACTAAATTAACCTTATTTACTCTAATCACAATCATTCCACACTTCCTTAATTTCAACACAATGAGGGTATATTTGGAAAAAAATGCAAAAATTTGTCTTGATTTTTGAGCGCGCCTTATATTTCAAAAAAATTGATAAATCTTTATACGCCTTATATTTCAAAATGGAGGGAGTATATATATACGTAATGATTGATCTTATCTTGATTGAGTTCTTCTCGAGGAGCGTGTTTACGTGCTACGTTATAATGAAGAAAGTTTGTGGCATTGATGTGCCGCATTTAAAGTCATTATTTTTTAACTAACAATAGTATGAATTTTTTGGAGTGATAACTTCAAAGTACGACGCCAGCTTGTACCGCGTACTTCTTGAGCAGCGTACGTGTTCATTTTATTTGATTACACGAGCTTAATATTTCCAATTCAATTCGATTAAAACATGAATGAACATTTATTGACATAAACGAGTTCGAACGAATTTTCGTTTCGAACGTCAGTTAGTTAACGGTCCTACCTATCATTAATTTAAATTCAGTTAATAATCTGTATAAAACAATTTATAGACTGCAATCAAATTTCATTAAAAATAATCCAATAACATATGTATTTATTAGTTGTGATTTGTGAAGAAACAAATAGAAAAAAATAAAAAGAATTGAATTAAGATTTAGTGTCACGTAAAAGAATTGAGGAAAAGTCCACCATATTATTAATTAATAATGACTAAAGATTTAGAGTCACGTAACAAAACGAAGTTATATTCTTTGCACATTCTTCCTTTAATGCTACACACTCAACCACAGGCTAATATTTGCTTGCAACTTTTTCTAATTTCCAACTTGCAAGCAACAAATTAATTACGTACATCTCTCCCTAGTTGGAGTGTATAGAAGTCGAGTTAAGCACAAGTCCTGAGCTCGAGTTGACTCGTTAACTAAATGAGCTAAGAATTGAGATCTAGTTTAGATTATTTATCAATATTATGAGACCAAACATTTACGAGATGAACTCAAATTTTAACTATATAATACTATATAAAGGTTATCTCTTTCAAAGCCACAATGAGGATTATAAGCTTGAGCGATATACGTGCCGACTCAAGCTAGAGACAAATCAATCACGAGCGCCTAGTTTTGTTAACTTTACATAATATACTATTATCTATCTAATGGTTAATTTCGGTCACTATATAATGAGGATTCTCATTATTACACGAAATAGAATAATTGGTAGCTAAGTTGATATATTTAAACACTAAAAATCTAGTATTTTTTTTTTTATTTTTTTTTATAAACACTAAAGTTGATATATTTAACACTCCTTTTGCCGTTTTCAAGTGGTATTCGCAAACTTTTCCCCTGGTCAATGCATGAGCTTTGTGTTATTGTCAAATTCTGATAGAGATTATTAAAAACTATTTATTTATTTTTATTGTTTTTCTCATTTGTAATTATGGTTGATGATTTTTTCATAATCATCTGATCAGCATTGCGTCATTACTCATGGTGATTAATTCTTCTGGAAAGTTGTGATATGGTTTTATTTTTTATGCCTTGACAAATATACCCTCATGTGTAAATGTGTGTTGATCCAACTGTTAAACCCCTAATTGAGTATTAACAAATCAAATATAGATAAAAATCCAAAAAAAGCATATAAAAATGTTATTCTCAAGCTTTGATGAACCTTAACGATTAACTAATTGAGTTTTAAACGGACTCAAGCTCGACTATTTTAGCAAGGGGGCCGTCCCGGGCTCAAAAAACAACTTGTTTTGTTAAACAGCTCTAGCAAGAAATAAAAATGTATTAAAAAAGATGAAATAATATAATGTCCTGACCGTGATTAGGCTTATTAACGAGCCGAATCGAGCTCGAGCTCGAGCTTACGCCCTTGATGAGTCAAGTCCTGCTCGACTCATTTATCAATATTAACGAGTCAAGTTTGAACCCTAACGAAACGATCTTGTGTTTTAACGAGTCAAACTATAGAAAAAAATTCTTTTTCGAGCCTTTTAAGAGCCCTATCGAGCCGATCCTGACTCATAAACGAAATGAACTTTAAGCGAGCTTCAGCTCAAGCTCGTCTTATTTATCAAACATGAGTCGAATTGAGCTCACAAACATCTTGTTTCCATTTATATCTACGTACAAAGTCAAATTGCAATCAGGTACAAGCCCAAATATCAATCGGCCCCTTTTACATTATAAAATCCAACACTAAACAAAACACGAGTCCATATCTGACAAGAAATGTATGTATGTATGTTTTCTATAAAAAATCTCCATGGCCTAAGCCCAAAAGAAAGATATAACAGAAAAGAAAAAGTCAAAAAGTCAATGTATTTTTCTGCACAATTTCAACTTACGTTACATGCATAGCCACATCGCCAAAACCACCGCCCAATTAATCCCCCAAAAAACCCCGCCGCGGCTCCCAACCCTCAGACAGCCGCCGTTAGAGTACATCTCCGACTCCGAAAATGCTTGTAAACTGAAATTAGGGTTCGACCCGTACAGCGCCTGCACCCCCCTTATGTCGTCCACCCTCAATTCCACCTTCCTCTCCCTCGGCCTCAGGCTCGGGTACATCACCGCCGCCCTGTCCCGGCTGTGCGCTAGCCCCAGCAAGTGCCCAATCTCGTGCGTCGCCACTGACTCCAGATCCACCGCCCCCGACGCTCCCTCCGCCGCGAGGTCAGCCGCCCACGTCTCCGCCGCGTCCAGGTGGAACCGCCCGCTCTCCGGCGAGAACGCGTGGGCCAGTACCCCCAGAACGCCGTCGAACGCCTCTCCGTCTCCGTGGTCTCCGGCGTAGAACCCTATCCTGATGTCCGCGAACCCGTAGTCGCCGGTCTCCACGAACTCGACTGGGATCACCGCCGCCCAGTGCGCGAACGCCCGCCCGACCGCGGCCCTGATCTCCGACCGGCTCGGGGAGGCCACCACGTTTTCCGGCGAGATCGCGTACGTCAGCGTCATCGGAATATCCCGCCGCCACCTGGGGCGGCCGGTGAAGTACTCGTATTTCCTGCCCGCCCTCAACTTGTTCGATGAAATGTCTCTGACGCCGCACCTTGGCTTCATGATCTCGGTAAGTGTTTCTAAATCGAGCTCTTTTGTAATTTTGAGGCCAAAATTCCGTTGATATTTTGCGATAGCGTGCTCGAGGCTCGAGTCGAATTCATCGGTCGAATTTGTGTGATCATATGCTTCTAAGTATCCGAATTTGTTGAGATATCTCTTGAGCTTAGAAATCCCATCAAAGGAGCTCCCTTTTCTTGTGTATTGGAATTTTCCGAATTCGTGCCATGTGATGAGATGGTTTTCGGATGAATCGTTTTTTGGGTTTAAGGAGTAAAAAAGAGGATTTCTCGCATGAACATTACTACTACATGGTGGAGATAATAGAAAAAGAAGGGAAATGTAAGAAAATATTTGTAACATGTTATATTTTGAAGGGAAAATTATTCAACTTGAAGGTTTTGGAGATGTCGTAAGAGGGTTTGTTATAAGGGAGAAGGGCAAAGTGAAAATAAATAAAAAGATACAAATGTATGATTGAGAAAAATGAATCATATTCATGAATGAGTTGTGAAGAGGTTTGAATTCAATGTAATGATAATTAGAACATTCAAAGGGCAAAATGAATTAATGAGTTTTCTTCTCAAGTGTATGTATGAGTATAAAATTTTCCACTTCTGATTACATCTTTTTTTAATGATTGATATTGATTTTTGGAATTTAATTACAAATATAATAAATCATCCAATGGCATGGATTTTGTTTCCTTGGGTGGATTTGTTGACTCTTGTTTCTTTGTGTAGTTAATGTGATAGTGGTGTTTGGTAAACCATATTAACTAAAAATGCATTCTTGTTGTTTTCATTGTTGTGAGCAGATTGTTCACTTATTTTTATAATCTGAAAAATTTATTTTGAAAAATTATGAAAAGGGTCAACTTTTATGTTCTAATCAAGAAAGTCAAAAGTCATGAGGTGGCTAAATTTGGAAAATTTTCAAATATTTTGGTCAAGATACATATTTTGTGATAGAAGTTTAATTCGATTTGTACTGTGTATTGCTTGTTACCTTGAGTATTGTTGTTGTTGCTGTATGAAGCAAACCCCAGCAGAATATTTTTTGTGTTTGTCTGTTTGAACCAAACTCATCAAACTTCTGTTAAATGTCATCATGATTGGTCTGCAATTTTTCGGTTCACACATATAGAGCCGTGTAAAAGACTCTATATATGATTATGGGGTCAAAAAACAGTCTCCAAATAAATAAATAAACAAATAAAAAGGAATATTCAAAGAAATTACAGGGCTGCTTTAATATAAGCCTGTGGATGTGGAAATTTCATAATATTGAGAGTCAAGTGATAAATTATTTATGTTGAAATGGATATGTTAATTTCAAAATAAAAATATAGCCTAATAGCCAGCCACAAGAGGAGCTTTCGACTTAGATGATTATATCTAATTCTTGAAAGATTATTATTGTTACAAATTTGAAATTATTCAATAATTGACTATAGTGCAAAGTCCGCCTCAGATATGTAACAGCGACGTACTCCCAATCAAGACTTGAAATCACTATTTTCCCCAAAAGGAATGAAATAAAATAAAAGAGTTCATCAGAAGTATCTAACATGTCATTTTGTTATTTGGTCACTTGTATTTTGGCCATGTGTTGTGAGCTATGATTGATTTTTAAATATAATGAATTCCAATCAAGTATCACTGGAGTGTCACCTCATAACCTACTGTACCCTATGAAAAAATAGGGCATCCAGGAAATCCATTCAGAGAAATCTTTTGTGAACAACACAATTCAAAAGTTGGATACTTTTTTGTGGGAATCTGAATTGGGCATTTGCCACATTCTTGGGATTATTTAGGAGAACAAATCGGCAAGACATCAATTTCCCTAATATTTGACCTCAAGGTGTTCGACAGATTGCCTAAGCGACTGAGCGAGCTTTATCTGGTGTTGACTCCAGCCAGCCACTCCCATCCACGGAAGCTCTAATATATCTTCTTTTTTCTGCCTCTCGGAGTTCCCCGAACAGTCAGCCGGCCGCCGCCGGCTAGCGGCGGTCCCCCAAAACCAAACAATGATCCGTGAATGGCCTCCTGGCGATTTGGAGTACCTCCTCAATCTGACGGCGGCCCAAGCTTCCTCCGGTCAACAACATGTCTTCTCTCCGGCAACCAAATCCTTCAGGCGATCCAATTGCTCTTACCGTCGCCTCCGTCAACACCGGTTTGAGCTCTGAAGCCCCGAAGGAACCTCCCGTCACTGCCCAGCCGGAAGTTGTCGGATTTGACGCCGAGTTCAGTCAAACAGCGGCGGCGGCACTCAACACCGCCCCATCGTCTCCTCGAGCTTCCCCTCTTGAGCCGGTAAGTGCCTCTATTTCTTCTCCCTCTGAGCCCGTTTTTACAAAGCCCAATTCTAATCTATTTTTTGGGTCCAATTCTTTGGGCCCTTTTTCACCCAACCAACCTAGCCCTTCTTCCCATCCCCTCTCACCTCAACCGCTACCTTGCCCAGCTCGATCCCAACCCAAACCATCCAGTCTGGCCCGAATCAAACCCAGCCCGGTGTATACCTAGTCCAACCCCTCCAGAACGGCCCGAACCCGGCCCAACCCGCCAATTCAGCCTTTGGACCATCCTACCTCTCGGCTGCCCAAAAAACAGTCCCACCCGAGCCCCTCTCCTATGGCTCTATTTCTCTATCCAGCAGCATTCCGGAGGTTCTCTTTTCCCCTCCGGAAGTTTCTAAAATGTCGGAGGACCTCAAATATGCCCTCATTGGCAAATTCTCTTTCGGCAAGCCCTCCAACGAGGCTATTCGGTCGAAACTCACTCTCTTGGGTTTTACCGGATGCAAAATTTTTTTCCTTCATGCCATTCACGTCTTGATCAAAGTCGATGATCCAAACACGTCCACCAAACTTTGGTTGAAACGCAAAATCTCTATTCTTAATTTTCCTATGCGGATTTTCAAGTGGTCCGCCGATTTCGATTTCAAAAAAGAACCACCTATTGCCCCGGTTTGGATCAAAATCCTAGCTCTCCCCCTTCAATGCTTTAATTTAAAGGCCCTTCGAACAATCGCTAACATCTTTGGCACCCTTTTAAAAGTTGATGATGCCACACTAGTATCGCCGTCTCTTGCGGAAACAAACGCGTCGAACTCAGTGTCGAGGTTGATTGCTTACCAAACTATTGTTCCTATTGCTCTCATGTAGGACATGATGACCATTCGTCCCGCCAAAATCAACAAGGGAAAAAACCCCCACATTGAACCCTCTCCTCATATTTCTCCCCCTTCTTCTGCTCTTCCGAGCTCCGCTAGACCATCTCTTGCCCTGGACCCGACTCCTTCGGACTTGAGACCTCTTAATGGCAAGGCTCCACCCAACCCCTCCTTATTAGGTCCGGTTCCTTCTCTGACCCAAATCCCTGGGCCCTCCTCTTTCCTTGAAGCGGGACCAGGCAATATGCCTGACTCATTGGACCCAGGTTCACCTAAGCCCAATTAAGTGATTGTTAAGTCTTGCTCTTCTGATTCTGAACCGGACTCCCCAAACCACTCGTCCCCCTTTTTTGAATTTGAAGATGACTTTACTGTCGCCCAAAACATGCGTAAAAAACCAATCATTTCTGTCCCCTCCCCCTCTGCCCCGCCCCATTCTCCCCAGATCTACACCAACTCTTCAAGAAAAAAACAACGGATTAGGCACAGCACGAGGAATAAGAAAAAACTGGACCATTTTCGAGACTCGCTGATGAAGTGGTAACTTTAGTTGTTGTCTTCGTCAGTTTTTATTGGACTTATATAAACCTATGACCTTTGTAGCCCATTTAGGGCCGTGACTTTTGTAGCCCATCTAGGGCCGTGACTATACAGGTTGGGGATTCAGCCTCAATCCCCCTCTGGGTGTTTTTGTTAAAAAAATATATATATATATATATAATGAATCGAGTATATACTCCTTCCATTTTATTTTATTTGTTGTTTAAGATTTGTTCACACGTATTAGAAAATAGTAATGATGTTTTTATGTTATCTAAATTTGATGAAATGTTTTAAATTATAGACATTCTTAAAATCAATGATTTGACTTTCTAATGAGATGATATATTCACATACATTTAAAGATAGTACGTTGTGGATGTTTTGTGTTATCTAAATTTGATGAAATGTTAAATTTTATTCAATCCCAAACATCACTCATTGAGTACAGTTACGCCACCAGTAATATAATTATATACTTTTTTCTATTTTCTTTAAAATAGAGAAATTGTATTAAACCCTATTTAAATATATATATATATAATTACTAGCTCAAAACATTTAATAAAACCTATTTAATTTTACCTATGTGGCAATTTAACAATTTTCCCTCCAAAAACCGTTACATTTTGATGTATTTAATCTTTTATTTAATCATTAATTAATTAATACTCATTACTTCAAAATTATAAAAATTATTTTAAATTTTTTATTAATGATAGTTGACCATATACTGTGTTGACCGTATAATGTGATTAGATGTTATTATTGTTGTTACATTTAATTTTATTTTTAAAATAAAAAAAATATATTTGAAATTCCTAAATAAATAATAAATAATTCACAAATAAAAGACGTACCAAAATATACATTACATCCAATCAGATAAACGCAATTTTAAAAAAAATATTCCAACTCTTTTAATTGTAAATTTGGTCTGCAAAAAAGTGAAAGAAAAATAATTAATCATTATATGCATACAGACTTACAATAATTTATTTATATCTGTGCAAATGCACAGGTCGAATACTAGTAAATAATATAAATAATACGCTCAGGTGTGGCCGTGTGATATTCACATACTGACCAGACCATTCATATATTGGGCCTAATAAACGCAATTTCATGATGCGGGCTTCCAAAAATTTAGTCCAAGTACCGATGTTGCTTCTATTTACTGGGCCTGCTAGAGCCTTCAGAAGCAGCTAATCACCACCTGGGCTTTACACTTTGGGCCTATTAAAAACTGACCCAACTATCCAATACTATGGTGTCAACTCCAATTTTAGCATAGTTAATAAATTCAACATACCTGTGCAAATATTAATAACTTGGATTTATCATATATTTTTAATAAACCAAAAAGGTGAAGATAAAATAAACAAAAAAGACAATAATATAATGATCCATTGAGATTCAAACACGTGGCAGCTTCTGTGTGAAGATCATTATTCTTGCTCTGGGGCTCCACGGATTGGAAAACCACGTGAGAGGCACGTGACGGATATGAAAGGAGCTGAGGGGTTTGTAATGGTGGGACACAGGGAGATATGGGATGATATTCTGATACAAACTTGTGTATCTTCTGATTTTATATATTTATAAAACATCATTCAATTTATTCTTTAAAAATATAAATTTTTGTATTGGTCGGTCTATCTGTTAGGTTAGTCGAATATGTTAATATATATTTTTTTTCAACAAATATACATACTTATAGTATGAAATGATGTACTTTTGTTTATTTTATTTTTTAAAGTATTGTATTTCAATTTAAATACATGCATATTTGTTGACAAAGTATGACGTACGAACCACTAAGTATACCTAACAACAGCCTTAGTATTTGTAGAAAAATATTTGCTATTTTTTGCTCTCCTCATAATTATGGAAATACCATGAAAATTAGAATTAAGAGGAAATTTTGAAGGGAAAAAAAAATTTGAAAATCCATTTCAATCAACTTCTTCACATGCCAATAAACAGTGGGTGGCTACAAATAATCAATATGTTGATTGATGAGAAGATAAAGGCCCCACAATTTTTTAGCCTTTCATAAAAAAATAGCCTCCATGCAGGAGACAGCTTGACTTACTGTCATCTTCCTTCATCATATAAACTTTTTTAAACTTTTTTTACTCTGGGTAAAACATGAAAGTTACTGCATGCATCAGAAAATATCAGAGACCTTCAGACAAGAAAATAAATAATAAAAGCTTTATTAACCAATATTAAATGTAGCAATGAATTATAGCTAAAATTAGTAATGGCCTGCAATGGTGTGACCCTGCCAAAAACCAACCCTTGTTCCCAAATTGCAACATGTTAAAAGTTAAAACAGAAAGGATTACATTCCAAAAGGGGTTCATTTTAACTGCATTACAGTCATTATTTTTTTTATTCTTTTATTTTCTACCGTTGGAGTAAAATATGTGTATTTGTGTGTGTTGATTTAATGAAAAAATACACTAAGACAGCAGTAGGATTGAAAACCCTAAAAGGGTTTTTTTTTTTTCATTTTATTTTTTTTTTTTTANAAGCTAGAGATGGGCATACAAAGGGGAAATTCAATTCCCAAGGAACATGAAGGTACATTGTTATATATGGATAACAAGAACATAGCCTGATAAAAGCAATAAAAGTAAATAACAATAACAATAACAATAATAATATTAATACAACAACAGTAATAGTTATAATTAATTAATGTTACAGTTAAATATAGAATTTCCACATGAATGACACTTTTTGACTAGCCAAAGGGTCACAAATTAACTGTTATATAAATCTCCACCAGTACTTAACTATTTAATAATTATTCCGCAATTTATCAGCTTGAGAGCTGCTAATTTTTCTTGAATAATATTAATTTCTTCTTCCTGGTCATGTTTGAAACTCTGGAACTAAAATTATAGAAATTTCCAGTGACCGGAAAATATATAATTTAATTACGCCCGTTTTGTCGTTTTACCAAAATATACTATTCAGCCGTTAATTAATTTGAGTAGAAGAGTGAGCCCGTTGATGCAGTTGATGAGGTGGTGGGGCCCACGCCAGCATAATTAGAACGGTGGCCGAAATAATCGAGGGAGATTCTCGGAGGGGATATTGCCACCGTGACCGAGGACGAGTGCTGGCCGGAATCCGGCGGGGACCCTGCAGAAATTAAATAAAATTAGTTTCTCAAAAAATCTCATCATCAATTATATATTATTGTCTCTTGATTAGATATACTTTGGGCTTGTGAAATAAATTTTAGATTGTATTATAAAAACTCTAAGTACGTAAAAAATGTGTTGATGAAATATATATGTAAAAGAAAAAAAGTCAAAATCAAAGAATCATAAAAGTTATGCAGAAGCTATTGATAAGAATGGTAACGAAACAAAATTAAAAAGAAATAGATTAAAATGACTTACTACTTGCTAAATTTTCAGATGAGGTGTTGGGTGCATTGTTATTATCAGCTGACTGAGATTTGTTAATACTTTCTTGATTATTAGTTTGCTGGGATGATTTTCTCCTTCTCCGATTATGGTCAGCTAGCCTTTTCCGGCAACTCCTCTTCCCGTTGTCAAATTCCGGCAGCTGATGGAACCTACGAATTCCCACATTTTTCTTTATTGGAATTTGGAAAACACATATTTTGCCAAGAATGTTGCAAGGGAAAAATTGTAAATTGAAGCACACTATCCAAACCAAGAACTTAATGCTAACACAAATTAACCCAACCATCATACTTTTTTCTTAGCAAAAAAAAAAACCAAAAAAAAATACTCTTTTTATCATATGTAATATTTTTCTTAATTTTAGGTCATGAAATTTCAGTGAAAGTATACATATTTAAAAAAGTATTGGTGTCTTAGACCTCTAGCATACTTACTCTAATTTTAACTAGAAAAAAATAAACCAATAAAACATTTTATTCAAGTATCCTGAAGCTAAAAAAGGGTTGAAAATTTAAATTAAAAAAGATTAAAATATGAATGAAGTACGAACTAATTAAAGATGTAAAGTGTGCCAAATGTGAAAAGGATGCAAAATATCTAGACAAGTCATAAATTTACGGACGTTAATGCCCTAGGGATTGTAACAAATAGCAGACCGAAAATAGGCACACTGACGTGATTAGACATTTAACTCCCCCACAAAATAAGGGGCATTTCAGTCCATTTGCACAAAGTAAACGAGACATACTATTAATTAGTGCTAAATGCATGGGTGAAGGGCATTCTCGTCATTTTTCACCTGCTGCACTGCTGGCAAAACCGCTGGGTGAGACCGGCGGCAATGACGGTGGCGGCCTTGGAGTGGAACTCGCAAACCTTGTGGCGGCGGTGGTAGTGCTTCGCGTGGCTCAGGTCGGCGCTGCAGCCCTCCGCCTGACACCTGGCGGAGCTGGCCGAACCGGGTTCGAAGATCCTGGACCGCCGGTAAAGCCGGTTCACGAAGTCGTCCTCCGACGAGGCGAAGTAGGTCCGGCCGCCGAGGTTCAGCCCTATCCTGCTGCTGTACTCCGCGTTGAAATCGAACCCGCCGGCCCCCGGCTCGGCCTTGGGGACTGCCAAGAACCCCGCCGGAACGGCTGGTTCAAGGGACAGCATGTGAGGCGGCGGAGGCGCCGCCACCGGCGGGTGATGGGGGTATGAGGCGGCGGACGCGCCGTAGGCGCGCGGGTCGTAGAAGGGGGTGAACTGGGCGTTTTGGTGGAAGGGGCCGACGCCGGCGACGGCGGCGGAGGCGGCGAAGTGGGTGTCTGGGTGTATGAAGGTAGCGGTGGTTTCTGGGAAGTTTTGGGCGGCGTAAGGTTCGAAGATGTGGTGGTGGCCCTGGTCGGAATCTTGGGGATTGTCCTCTCCGGTGAGCATGACCGGCGACGGGTTTCCCCATCCGTAGTCCAACATAGCTTTCGAAAAAAAATTGTATTTTTAGATAATAGAAATCTGTAAAAAGAAAATGAGAAAAAAAAAAAAACTACACTTTCAGTTTTGCGTGGTCATTTTAACCTGTTTGAAAAGGAAAGGTATTTTTTAAGTTTGGAGTTGCATATTATATCTGAATTCAATTGAAGAATTTTTTTATGGGGAGAGAAGGAAATCTGTGAGCTTTATAGGGGCATCATTTGTTTGTGTAGTGTAATGAGAGAAGGCTGTTAAAAAAAGACTTTAGCTTTCTCACTCTTTCACAGTGTGTCAGTGTGTGGCTTTAGCTAAGTTGTAATGAAAAAAAAAAAAGAGCTGCTAGTTTGAGTATATTTTAGGAACAATAATAATGTTTTTGGTTCAAGTGAGTTTTTTTATTAACTATAATACAACTGTTATGCAGATCTAACAGTTAGACATACATACTTTTATTAACAAGTATTCACAATTGTTTCAAAGGTATGACATTTCATTGTATAAGTATGGAGTTATATTAAAAAAAATAAAGTATAATGAGTTGACATGCCTTATAGTTTGTCTGTTTCACACAACAATTTGTTCTTTCTTTTACATGTAATTTGAGGAAGGATTAATTAGTGTTGGTGTGTGAGATATAGGGAAAAAGTGCTTCATCTTAGTAATCAAAATCCTATCTATGATGGTAAAATTATACATATATAACTGCTAGCTATATACTTGTTCCTTTTCTATTCTTCTATTACTCTGTGTAACTACATAAAAGTACAATTAGTTTCTTTAATTTCTCTCACTATAATTGTATTTCTCTCTACTGTGTGTATGTGAGAGAGAGTAGTTCAGTGTGTATGAGGCGTTTGGGCAGAGATAGGTTGTCTCTAAAATTGGTGTACTTAAATGCAGTTACTGTTTACCCAACACCTACTTGGAATATTTGCAGCAAAGCCCTTACTACTAATTATTATTCTTATTGTATATTTGTACCCATTTTGGCACATTAACTAAATCTGTATTAAACAAATGAGTAAAATGATATTGTGTGTAACATCTCTATGTATTACATAGATTTCAGATAAATAATTGTACGCATGTACGAGTAAAATAATATTAAAATGAGTCACATATTATTTCATTTCAAATCTAGACATTCTATTTTTTAACAATATTATTCGTTATTGCTACAATCTCATTTTCATTTCAACTTTCATATTAATTGTTTGATATTCAATCCCAATAATTGTTATTGGAAAAACGAAACTAATTCCTTTTGTGTAGCCATATAGTTAATAAATTATGTTTTCAATTTAATTTAGTAATTAATATTCTTACACGGGGCATGGATACCTAAATTAATCTCGTGGATATGATTATGGGGATTATTTTATTTTTATTTTATATATTTTGAGCTCATTTTCCACGCAACTCGAAGCAGGTTTTGTCATATGTTGGCCTTCGTAAAAATATGGCAGCCTCTATAGCATCATTATTGGAAAAATAACATAATTAATTAGTACTCCCTCCATTTTGAAATATAAGGCATTTAAGGTTATTGCACAAATATTAAGGAAACATTAATTAATGAATAAATTGACTAAATTAATCTTATTTACTCTAATCACAACCATTCCACACTTCCTTAATTTCAACACAATAAGGGTATATTTGGAAAAAAATACAAAAAATTGTCTTGATTTTTAAGCGCGCCTTATATTTCAAAAAAAATGAGAAATCTTTATACGCCTTATATTTCAAAATGGAGGGAGTACCAAATTAATTAAAGGCGTGAGAGTTGGAGCCCAAATATGCAATCAAAGCTTTAAAATTGGGTGACCACAGAATAATTCGGCCTTTACCTTGTAATTAGTGTAACTTATATCACTCTCCTCCACGCGCATTGTCGCGCGTGATAACACCTCACAATCTAAATTCGATGAGCTATTGGTTTCGGTTGCATATCATATCACCTTTCCAAACCTACATTAATTTTTCAATTTTCTTAAAATTTCAAGAGACGATATTATTCGAGGTCAAGATGATTGATCTGAAAAGTGTTCAAGACTCCTAATTTAATTAGACTCTTTACATGTAAATGGTATATCTAAATATTTTGGAATGAAATAAGATCAGTTCACAAACAACACAATATGAGGTGCAATACAAAGATAATTTAAAACGTGTCCATGTTCTACTTTTTAGGTCATAAAATGAAATTAACATTGAAGAGTAAAATTATAATGACATAAAAGCTATAAAGAAAAAACTATAAGAAATTAATATATTCTGAGAAACGGAGGAAAACAACCAATTTTTTTAGGCCAAGTACCAATTTCTTGCCAAAATAGACAAATGGAATATCATTTTCGTATTTTACTATAAAATAATACAAACAAAATTGTACAAAAAGAGGATGCAAAGGAGATACGATGGCATATTCTACAACGTACGATATATTTCAAAATTTTTGCCTTCTTTTCATGTGTTCTGTGAAAGCAGTTTGTACTAAGATACGAATTATACTGAGAAAATGATTTTGTTCGGAAAAAATAAAGAAAAAGAAAATAAAATTTAAGATAAGGCCAAAATGGGGAATAATGTTATTATTTAATATGATGGCCAATAATTGGTGGCCCCTGCGAGAGAAGGTGCGTGGGCATGCAATATTAGGGGGCGCTTGTATATGAAATAATTTGTTCAAAATGAATTATTTTGATTAATTATAGTTAATTTTAAAAAAGGTAATATGATTAATTGTTAATGAAATTTTAAGAATGTATTAAAATAATATTTAAAATAAAATGATTAAAATTGATTTGATGTAAAAGTATGAGATAAATGATTGAAAATAATTGGAACTGATAGGTAGTTAAAATTATGAGTGGATGAATAGTGAGTTAAAGTTGATGTGATGTGTAAGAACGATTAGTTTGTATAATTTAATTATATGAATAATATTAAAAATAGCAGAGTTGAGTTAAAATTAAGTTAAATTTTGAATATGAATGAATGAGAATGAAATAATTTATAAACAAGTATGCCTTAGCTTTTATTTTATTTTCTGTTTATTATTATTTTTGCTGTTTAATGCTGGGTAGCAAAATAATAAAAATTGGCAGTGGAATTATTGGGAGTTGGGGGGTTGTGGGGACGGCATTTGGTGGGAAAAGGCTGACACGGACGTTGACTATTTTCTGTACGGAATTTTTGTGAAAGGTCAGACAATAACTTTGATAATAGCTTTTTTATTTTAACATATTTTAATTAATTTTAGTCATTTGGTTTAAATTATATTTTTGATAAATCATTTCGCTTGTAAATTGATGAATGCAATTTGGATCATAAAACTTGGGACTAATTTGATCCTAGGTAAACTAGTCAGAAATCAAACTCGAGATCGACTCGTCGAGTTCGACCCGATCTCGAGCTTTAAAGAGTCAATATAAAAATTCTTTTTCCGAGTTTTATCGAGCCGAGTCGAACTAATTAACGAAACAATTCTTAAACTAGCTCAAATTCAGCTCGTTTATCCAACAACCAGAGCCAAACTCAAGTTCACGAATAACTCGTTTCGTTTAACACCTCTCTGCATGCAAAATGTATCCCAACCGCTCGTGAAATTCACCCAATCTGGATCTAGAACTATAAAGCATGGCTAGAATGCAATTCAAATGCTGATTGTCACCATATGTCTTAGTCTTATATATACATGAAAAGTGTGAATATGGGAAAATGTTGATTCTAACATGAAAAGGCCCATCCAAGATTTTCTAATTTTCTCAATCAAATATTTCAGAAGTAATCAATGAAAAGGGGCCAGGGAGAGGCTGTCTGTTGGTGGGCAGAATGAATGGGAAAGGAAGGGCACGAGCACTTGTGGCACACAATATGACACAACTCATATTCATTATACCTATTATTTATTTATTTTTTTAGTTATTTATTTTGTTTTCAATTATAACAGGAGAATGTGTACTACATAATACCAATTAAATTCCTAGGCTGATACACTGTTCTCTCAGCTCCTTTTTCCTACCTAGTTTTTTCCAACACATGAAACAGAGTACCACCCTTCATTAAATTACATGTATCTGAATCTAGAATTGTTGTGGGAAAAAAATAAAATAAAATAACAACACAATTAAAATTAGAGAAAATGTTGTCTACATTAAAACCATCTTAAATGCATATTACACAAGACAATAGAATTTAAAATTAAAATCAGACAAAGAATGATAGGAAATAGGAGAAATTAGTGACAACTATGTATTGAAAATGAACATTCAAGAATGCAAACAAAAGATGAAACAAACAATGGGAGTTGTGAGAAAACTTGTCAGTTGATAGCAACATCTTGCACATGTTCACAGTCATTAGTTCGAGCACAAACATGGTGACGAGGAATGAATTGTTCAATAATTTTATTTTATTTTATATTTTACAAACAGCATAAAATAAAAACGAAAAAACTCGAATGCAATATGTCCACATGCAAATACTCTGAGAAGTCATAGTCATCCACTGCAAGCAATCTCTGCTTGGGCAAATAATTTCTACATACGTTGTTATAATCACACCATCTAGTGAGGGGTGCATATAATTTTTACCATATCATAAAGGCAAATAATATGCTCACGATTGTGTAAACAGTGTTACAAATACTTTATGTCCAAATAGCTTATGCAACATTATTTACGAGAGGCAATATAATGACAAAAATGCATGCGTATTGCATAATGCAAGCTAAACATTACCGATAACCCAAACTGAAGGCTCATGGTTACTGGATATTAATTATTGAAATACCTGATAACCCATTTTTTTGTTTATTTAACTTGGTGAACAAAAATTAAATATATAACACCTGCCAGATGATAATAATGAAAAAAAATACTTAGCAAATATGGAGTCCGCCTTCATAATTACACAGCATTGAGATTACCTTTTATTAACAAACAATTAGCTAATAAGTAATTGACATGACCACCTAACACTTTCTCTCTGATTCATCAACATCCCATGAACCAAATCATGAAAGTAATGACAATGATTATACAATGGTTATGGGTGATGTCTAAATTCAACCCATCCACCCAGGCTTGATTAAACTCACACACACACACACACACACAAATATACAAATGTATATATGTATATACATACATACATACATATATATATCAAATGCATCCTTAGAAAACGAATCATGTGCGCAAATCACAATCAGCCGCAGTGAAGGGCATTTTCAGCTTTATTGGAGGTCCGATTTTTCTGACATTTGATGCTCACAACTCAGAAAGAAATGTACGAAGAAAGAAATGAACAAAGGGTAATTCTAATTCTACGTAGAAGTTGCTGGCACTCTTAACTAACAGGTCAAAATAGTGCCGATTATGGCGCGACAATCAAACTTCTAGTACAAACGTATGCACTTCTACAATGCTGTGTCATATTCATCAATAAGGGTTTACGCCCAATTCTAAAAGTATTGATACGACATTCACCATGAAATTATTTATTTTGTTCGAAAACTATGGCTCTCTCTGTCAATTAGCTAATTTTCAATACTCCCTGTCTCAATGAAGTTCATTTACCTGCCATCTAAAGGCAGTGGAACTAAATTACATTAGATGAAGAAGAACGAAATAAAAGAAATCCATTATTTCTTTAAAAAAAAACAAGATTTGTGTTCGATGTACTAGAGATAAGAAAGAAAATTTTAAAATTTAAAATGATCTGTCAAGTGCAGTGTCATGATACTAAAAGATATTATTATTATTATTATTATTATTATTATTATTCTTCAGGTGCCGTTCAAAGATTTTCAGATGAACTATGCATCATTTTACTACTTTGATTAAGCTTATCAACTGCTGCTTACCAGGAAAACGTCTTTCTCCCACATTGCATTTAAGCACATGATTCAAACATGGTTTCAAGCATTGAAGCACAAAACAAAACAATAATAAACACAGTACCTACATTGCCTAACAAATCAAATGACAGATAAGATGGGTGCACCCCATCTACAGTCATAATAGAGCAACTCCATAATGCCAAAATTACTTAATAATTAATTTGCTACCCTTCTAGCCAATGTAAAGACGAAGCTAGAAACCAACCCTTTTATCCAAACATGTCTGCTCGGTTGGTGAAAGTCTAACCTCACAGGGCAGCTGCCATCATTATTGGTGAAGCTTCTTTAGTCGCTGTCATCCATATTCGGTTGTTTGTTCAATCGTCGTCATCTGCTATTATAAACCTGAATCATTGAATTTGAAAATATAAGAGATATCAGGTTACTTGTTCAATCGCCTTCATCAGGCATTCAAAAACGTGCATCATTGAATTTGAAAATATAAGACATATCAGGCTACATGTTCAATCGCCTTCATCAGGCACTCAAAAACGTGCATTATTGAATTTGAAAGGGACAATTCGGTCACGCCTTTAGTTTTCATATCAAAAATTGAGGGTCAAGCATTTGCTTCGTGGGCAAATAGGTCAAAAATACTGTTGATAAACCATGGGAATTTCTGGCAGGGATGGGGGTTGGCAAGAAAGGGTGAAATCTCAAATTGATTAAAATTCATTTCCTACACGCGATGTACAAATAAATACATCAAAAATCAGTATGAATGCCGAAAGGTGCAAAGGTGCGAGATTGGGGTACCACTTGGAAAACTTATTTGGGAATTTGACGAGATAATTGTTCTGAGAGATGGAAAAAGTGTAACCAAAGAAATGGTGAAATATGAAGAGAAGAACTTGAAAGAACATATTGCCTTAAAGCCAGAACATGGATGATCGAAATATGATGCCTGAAAAGTTGACGACAATTGAGAATGTTACAAATTTAATGAGTTCAGTGAATCTCATCAACAATAGAAGAAGGCACTTCATGAGTTAGGCGAATCTCATCAAGAAGACCCAAAAATTTCTCCACTCATTTCCTCTTGATTTTCGAATGATATAAACCAGGAACAAAATAAAGAGCAGCAGATTATAAAACAAGTAAATTTAATGTGATATCTAAACTGAAAACTGCCATCATTTTTGCACATTTCTCGAGGTTGGCATAGAGCGAATTTACTTGTGTTCCTTGTTTTAACCAAAAAAAAAAATGCATAGGAAAGAGCTGAGATGCATTAACCCTTATTAACATACCTATGAATAATAAGATTCCCTACAGAAACTGCAACGGATCAATCTCTCCCCTCAACCCTGAATTAAACAAACAACCGATGAAGGAATGTGATCTCATATCCATATTAATAAATAAATAATATGAGTGGCAAGCTAAAATTTTCCTTCAGCAAGTAAGGCACGCACTTCGATTTGTCAGATAAGGTCACCATAGATCTCAGCACACCAGGACTTATCTTGTCAGCGAGAGCACCTTTTTCTGAAATCAAGAAGGATTTCTCTTTCACATAGCTCTGGAGTTTCTTGGAATCAAAATCCAGGCGCTCTTGATCTACACAATTTACAATACAATCGGTAAGCAAAAACTGGACCAAGACTCACCCCAGGTGTTATACACACACACACACACACACACACACACACACATATATATATATATATATATAACATGAGCAGAGAATCAATATTGGTGATTCTAGTAAATTACTTTCAGATTTGTTAGCGCAGAAACTGTTTGAATTACTTTCAGATGAGACTCTAAATAAACATTTTCAGAAAATCAATATCAGGGATGATGATTCTAGTGAATTTGAGGATACATTTCCTGTGAACATCTTCTAGAAATTGTCTGTATATTTGGTAATTGCTTAAACACTGAAATTATGTACTGTAAGAAACGGGGGTATAAACGGGTGCGGTCCCACCCAAATGAAGCGCACCAACAGGGAAAGCCCATATGAAACCCAAGTGAGGTTTCATCCCAAAACCAATTGGTAGAAGGAGGAATAGCCCACTATGCTTATAAGTTGAGCCTATTTTCCCTATATAAACGATGTGGGACAACTCATAAGTGATATTCTAACATGTACAAGGAAGTATCTCAGTCTAGAAGTAGTCCAAAATGACAACTTTTTTTTTAACTGAAAGCTCAAGTTGACTTTTGATAATATCTGAAAGATCACATTCCAGATTGACTTTGGTTCTTCTGAACTCTATTGATCAAGACGATGCCATCACAATGTGCAACTCATAGGAAAGTACCCTTTCTATCAAATAGCACAGTTTTCCAATCCAATTGATTTCTAATCCTCCCCTTATAACGCGGCATGTTGATACCAGTTTACAATCTGAGGTTGTAAAAAATATATATCATCCCTTTTGACCAACTTAGTTTCGATACATCCTATTTGGCCTTCATAATCGAAGATCGAAACTACAATTGAAAGGCACAGAACAATCTAAAGATATGCAAACTTCGACTGACATGTTCTAAACACTGGTTGTCACATCATATATCATGTAAGACCTTTATGCAAATTACATTTTCAATTGATAAGACAAATGCAAATCTAAATTCGGCCACGACACCATTGTAGCAAATGCATATAATATAAGTAATAATTAAACAAAAAAGGAATAGAGAGCTACCTTTCTCTAAAATAGTATGTGCGGCATGAAAGGGTATGCTCGCAAATAGGTCAGTGCCAGAGAACATTAACAGTGTCTTCTCCCTAGAATCATGATCACCACAAGTTGCACATAACTCTTTGACCAGTGGCCTTGAATCCACATCCCTCATTATCGACTCAAAAGGCAAAGGGACACTGGTTTTAGTCGTCCTAGCCCTCTTTCTTAAAGCTGTTAGAGCTTCCCTGTTCCCATTCCTCACTCGGTCGATTTCAACTAACTGCAAAAACAAATACAACCCTATCACGAATCATATTATCCCTTATGAAATATAACATCCAATATTAGAACCAAATTACCTCATGCCGTGCTAACAAAAGATTTTCAGCTTCTATTTCAATCTCAACGAGTCCTTGTTGGAATTGTTTCATTGACTCGTTCATCCAGACCCAAGTGAAATTAAACGTTTGACTGTTACATAACACAGATGAGGGATGATTGTGTCAATGAAAGTTGTAGAACAAGTGCATCCAACCCACACTTATATTTCTCTATAAACTCATTTATATTACACCACAAACAGACACATAAAACATAAGCAGCTCAGGACACCATAATTTGTTAGCATTTGAAGTTTAGAACCAAATGCAGATTCCTAAGTGAACATAAAGGATAAATTTGATGAAGCTATGCACTTCGTATGCCCTGTTATAGCAAAACTGAAAATAAAAATAAAAATAAAAAATAAAAAATATATCGCAAAGAACGACCTCTCATAATCATATTGTCGTATTAAATCATATCATAAAAGGCTAGTGAATCAATTGAAAGAGCTTTATTTAACTCGTCGTTCGAGATTTCGAAACTCACCAGTTAGCGGCTCAGGGGTTTGATTTTGAAATTGAGCACAGGAATTGAACTTTACAGATGTAAGCAACCTTCGATGAGCACAAGCGATCGGTTGAGATAGCGTTGCGATGGGAGGTATACGGCTGAGGCAGCGGCGGCGTTGGGCGAGGCCTAGAAGAACGAGCTCAGGGAGGACGGGTGCAGGTGGCGTCACAATTGCGAGGACTTATGAAGCTTTTCAACATTCTCTCTTTTTAAATTGTTAATAATTAAAATTTGGTAAAAATATTTTTAAATGTAAGAAAATCCTCGTGTATGTACACTGAAGTTCTTTGTTATTTGNTTTTTACTTTTTAGCATACATATGTACGTATATATATAATTTTTATATAAATTAACACAATTATTTCAAATAATAATTATATTTTTCTTTCTGTTAATAATTTAACTATAATTATACTCTTTTTATAATTATTTATAATATTTTTTTAGTTTAAATAATTTGAATGCACAACTAAATTTCAGATAAAATATGTTTAATGGAAAGGAGAATTATCAAAACTATAGTAGTATTTAGTGAATCGAAATTCATGAATTCAAAGAACGTTCAGTCGAACTTTGTTACTGTCAAGGTTTGAAACTGATATAATTTATATTGCACTGTTATTATTTTTATACAATTATATAATTTATATTGCATTGTTATTATTATATATTTATTTTATAATACAACTCTCTATTTTTATGTACATTAAATTAAATGTATTGATTATTAAAAAGTATATAGTCCCCCTCAAAATAAATATTTGTATCCGCCCCTTTGTTTAAAATTATTTACCAAATACGATAAATTCTCAAACTTTTTTTTCCTATTTATATCAGATCCATCAAACAGAAAAAGGCACCTTAACAATGAGGAGGTAGCTTTTTCCTCCTCTTCAAAGGTGTTATACCCTACTTCGAATTCAACGTTTTGCTTTCAGAAGACTTAAACCTCTTTTCCTGCCAAAGTAGGTTTGATATCAAATTGAAATAATTTCTTACACAGCTTAAGCTCAATCATGAAGAGCTATTTTGTTAAAGTAGGTTTGATATCAAAGTAGGTTTGTTTCCCATGTTTCTATGACTCTTGTTCTTTATTATTTGGTGGAATATTAATAAAGTTCATACATCTTTCAAGTCTATCAAATATGGAGTTTTTTGTGCACTCTCTGAAAAAACAATACAACCACAAAGAGGTTACTTACATAAGATGCAGTGTAAGAAATATTATTATCCACATCAAAGCAAAATCCAAGAAAAAAACTACAAGATCATAGAATAACTCTATTACATGTCTCTAAATCTTTCCACTTAATCACAAGAATAAACTCCATTAGATACAAAATGGGCTAAACTCCCCACTGTCACTAAATACATATATTTTTTGCTACCCACGGCCACCAAAAACCCTTTCAAACAAAGATTAAATACATATAGCATTATCACCTATTGTCTTGTCTCTAAATCCAAAGTTGTCGGACATCTCGTCTTACACGTACGAGAATTATGGTTTATCGTCAAGGTTTTAATTAAAAACCCTACATTTGTAGCTAAAATCACATAACATACCTTATTCTTGAATACAGTACTGCCCATGAACTCGGGCACAAACTTCCGTGCTATAGTAGTTCTACGGATAGCCTCCTATGAATAGTGAAATCAACACTCTCAACTACTTCCATGCTACAAAGGTTTAATTAGTAAGTCTTCAATAGTGAAATCGACACTCTCAACTCTCAACTTCAATAGTGAAATCAACATGGCATGGTGTGTCAATTATATTAATTAACTTGAAATTACAGTAATATGGTCAAAAACCAATTGATTTAACACTGTTTTTCATAATACATTATGTTGCTAACATAAAATCTTTTATGATTTATCACTATTAGAACTAAAAGATTTAAAAACATAGAAATTACATAATTGCTTCTCCAATAAAAAAGAAACTGAATTTCTCTAAATCAAAGATGATTCATGGTTAAACAAGTTGTCTTACTTGTAGCCATCCAAACAGACCCAAATCGATTCATAGCATATATAACATAGATATCAAATTAATTAACTTTCATAGCATAATTCACTTACTTGAGTGGAGCTGAATGTTGTTGCCTGGTTTGAAGTATGTGTGAATTATGCCATGTTGATTAATCTGATATCTATGCTATGGATGCATATTGTTTGGATGTCTACACGTAAGGAAACATGTTCAGCCATAAGCAATTATGTAATTTCTCTGCTTTTTCTAATTTTTTTTTTTTTAAAATTCTGATAATGATAAATCATAAAAGAATTTATGTTAGCTATATACTGAGCGTGTTCATTTAGTTTTTCACTATTGAAGTTAAGAGTGTTGATTTCACTGTTGAGAGTTACTAATCAAACTTTTGTTTAATTATCTTTTTGATTCGTAGGAGGTGTTTCATAGGAGGCTATAGATTTGAAACGGAAATGCCATTTGGATCTTAATTGCCACACCAGTCAAAACTTTCATCGCCAATCAAACTTTCATGAATTATATTTGGTTATGCCGAAACAAGAAGATATATATATATATTTTTTTTTTTTTAAATCAGAG